CACGTGGATGCTGCCATTCACCAGTCTATTATTGACTGGTTCTCACTGCTATATGAACAGCAGCATACAGTCTCTGCCTGAGGGCAGGGTTACCGTCATGGTGGCCAGCTTTGATACCTCTGGCCCATTCACCATGTCACCTTCTGCTCCTGAATCCCATAGTCCATAAACCATGTAGGCACACTCTTTGGCCTCTGCCGAAGTGCTGCAGCACATCCATCAGTTCTGTTGGTGCACGGCCTCGCCGTCATGTGTGAATGCGTTTGGGCAGGGGGCCATTGGGCAGGGGGCACCCCGCCGGTCTGCCTTGTACTTTGTCCTCTGGGTTATAATGGGACGGGGTTCCAAGGAATCTGTCATAAGTGGAGCCTCTAAATCTGACCTGGAAGTTTTGTTTTCCTGTTCAGCCAGGTCCATTCCTGCAGAGCTGTGGTTATTATCTACTGAAATACTGCAGACCTGGCCTATCGGGGAACGTCAAGCTGGTCTTTCGCCTGCGAATACATTAAGTTCCTGTTCCAGTTTCTCAATATGGTCTTTTAATAGTTGATTTTCACTTTCTAAGGTGTCAGCTCTTATCTCAGCTTGATTTAAAGCATTTAACTGGAGGCAGCTAACTGCCTTTCTTTAGTACTTAGAATGTCTCTGTAATCCTTGAAAGCATTTCATCATGCAGAATGGGGAAATGTTCCCCATAGTGTGCAGGGGACCCCATTTCTCAACTATGGTGCTAATTAGTAATAAGGAGAACCCAGGAACCCTGGGATCTGCCCGGGATCATTTTATCCAAGGGGTTATGTTCTCCCCCCGACCCATTTATGGAAATTCCATAGAAAGGACATGATGTAAATTTTAGTATATTTGGCCTGCCTGGCTCACCAAGTGTACAATCAATGAATGTACAGATGTTATAATTATGAAATATAGCAGAGAGTTTAGCTAAGCAGCTGTTAGACCAAAAGAGAATAGATGGGATGCTTACCCGTATCCTGGGCTCGTTAGAAACTCCAGAGGAGGGATCTGCAGAGGAGACCCTTCCCCACTGGCAGTCAGCTCTTATTGGGTCTGGGGGAGGTGCAGCCAGGCTCCCCCTCTTCCAGCAGCACAGCGAATCGCCTTCACTGCGCTCCCTGGCTGAGGCATTGCTACCTCAGGTGCTCCATCGAGGTTCAGGCCGTGGTTCAGCAGTTCCCACACAAAGGTGAATTTCAAGGAGCCGGTTCTGCTTGCTCAGTAGCTCACAGATTTCTGGAGGCTGAGTGAACTGGAGCTGGATCTGGATGGAACGAATGAGAATGAATGTCACCTGCAAAGACAGGGAATTGCCCGAGAAGAGGACAAGGGCCTGATCGGGGAGGACCTCTCACGTGACGCACGGACATCCCCGGTGCCGGGTGTCAAATTTGTCTGCCACCAGCTGCCAAAGATTCAGCTTTTGGCTGCTGAACAAATGTGAATCACAGATGGTGACACCATGTTTTCACATTGACTTCAGTAATTATGGGCATTCGTCAAATTGAACAAAATAGCTCATAACTAATAAAAAGGAGGAGGAAGGAAAGGTGAGATTCATAAGGTTTGTGCCGAGTCTTCTTCTGCGTTCCATGAGTGGCAGCCTTCAAGAGTGACACATGGTTAATATGCCAGCAATTCAGTGAGAACTCATCAGCTTCAAAATTCTTGGTTTTCACACTGAAAAAACTCATCACTTCAAAATTATTGGTTTTCACACTGAAGTCTTAGCTCTGCTATCCCTGACATCAATTTAAACTCTCAAAAAAAAAAAAAAACCAAAAAAACCAGCAGGAATGGTCTGTTGAAATTCAGTAGAGCAAAGGCCATTTGCAGCCCTGGATCACAGCAAGTGCCTGAGCCCCTGGATTTCTCCCTGAGCATTCTGCAGTCATTGCTGCACAGGGCTCTGCTGCGATTAAAGGAAGAAGGAAAGCAGTGTTGCCCAACCATAGCATGGCTGGATGAGGTTGAATGGAAACTCATAAAAGCCAACAGGGCCTTTGTAAATGCTGAGCTCTGCCAGCAGGGTGCTGCTCTCAGACACTCAGGTATTCTTACCTGAGCTTTGTCATACCAGCAGTGAAGTGCATGCACCCACCTGCCACAGCTTCGCAAGAAGGCACAACTTCCTGCTGAATTATCTGACAGGCCGGTATGTCACACTAACAGGGAGAGAAGAAGAAAAAACAACTGAGAGATGGAGAAAAAAGGCCCTCACTAAACTAAGGACCTTGGGGCTCTCTCTAGGACAGCTGGTGTCTCAGCACAGTTCACAGTTACTTCAAATGCACACAGCACCTACAAAAGCACCGTGCTCCAACAAGGAAGGAAAGCAAATCCACGATGCTCTGCAGGGCTCCCAGCTCGCAGTAGGTGACGCCTGCTCCGTGCACAGAGCATGCACAGAAACTGCACCTCATCTCTTCCCCATCTATCTCCCCACCACTTCTACAGGCATTTAGGGGCATTGTGGAAAGGCTTGTGGAGAAGACTGGATGCACAGGAGATTTCTCACTTCTCTGGTGCAAGAGCACTGCTTGTCTAGATGAACAATCTTTTTCAAACAAGCACCAACCAACCATTGCCACAACTGAAATGGCATTTCCCTGCAAAAACAACAAACCAACCAACCAACGAGCAGCCTGTCCAAAGACCCCTCCTCACACACTTGCCAAGAAGGCCACAACCATTATTCCATTTGCCAGGCTTACTCACAGAACTGCAGGCTTCTCCTCACTGGGCATCATGTGGACACAAACAGGCTGCTGGTGCAGGGAAGGCAATTTCACCTGAGCATCTCCACCACAGACGCTCCCTCCGCTCTGCTTTCCTGCAAAGATACAAGAGAAAAGCCTCAGCTCCTCCGAGCAACAACTGGAAATAACTCCAGAAAATTCCCCACCCAAAAGCAGTTCCTGGAGAGGTACAAAGCAGTCCTTCGAGGTTCACATGTGCTTACGCTGCGCCCTTTGCAGAAACACGCTGCCTTTGTGCTCCTGGCTCCTCAGGGCTCTTTTTCATCTCCTCCTGGGCACAGAACAATAGCTTTTCTTGTACAAGTCTATGACCTATGTACATTCCTCCACCCCAAAATAAAGTCTGACATAGAGTTGTAGTGCAGAGATTGGATGCAAAGCAAAGCCAAGAAACATACTCTGAAATGTGAAAGAATGCTTCTATCAAGGAACAAGATCATGCAAAGAAAGGAGCAGGAAAGACAACCAACCAACAAATAGGAAACAAAGACAATGAAAGCAAAGCAAAAAGGCTCGCTGCAGGAAAACCAAAAAGGCAAAACAAAACAAAGAAGGAAAACAAAGCAAAGCAAAACAAAGTCGAGACGTACAAGAGGAAAGCTGATGAATTCAATACACGATCATGGCAAAGCAAAGAATCCAAGCAAAGGAAAGTGATAAAAACGCTCACCAATGCATAGCAATGGAAAGAAAGAACGAAAATTTAAAAGCAATGCAGGGCCAAGATACTAATGCAAAACCAAAGAGCAAACCAAAGCCAAGCAAAACCAGGAAAAATAAATGAGCAAGTACTAAAAAGCCAAGGAAAGCAAAGCTAAATCACTTGAAATCCTCGCAAACAGAAGGGAATGTGCTTAGGAAAGGAAAAAGGAATTCAAAGAACAGAAACAGAAGGGAAAAGAAAATCAACAAAACTGGAAAAAAAACCAATGCATTGCAATGCAGAAGGAGCAGGAAATCAAGACAGAAACAACAGAAAAACAACAAGGAAAACACAGTAAACCAACATCAACCTATGTAGCAGCAGCAGGAACATGAAACAGCAAAGGATCACAAGAATCATAGAACGGCCACAGTTGGAAGGGACCTCAAGGATGACAAATCTCCAACCCCCTGCCACACGCAGGGCCACCAACCTCCACATTTCATAGCAGCTCAGGCTGCCCAGGGCCCCATCCAACCTGGCCTTGAACACCTCCAGGGATGGACGGGGCATCCACAGCCTCTCTGGGCAGCTGTTCCAGCACTTCTCCTCCTCCCCACTCCCAGCGCTGCTCTTCACGCCATCCCACCCACACCTCAACTCCTCATGCCTCATCGGCAGGCTGACGTGCAGGCCATGGCTGCCGCATGCAGCTGGGCTTCCTGGGGCAAACGGCAACCCTCAGTACAGCCTAAGGCTTAAAAAGCCATCAGGAAAGAGAGGCAAGTCAAGGGGCTGAGTGCAGGGACGCCTTTCTTCCTCCTGGGCTGCTTCCCCTCCTTTGTGCTTTTTCTAGCGGTCCTTGGAGAGCAAAGGGATGCTCACAGCCTGATGCCAGCAGTTAGAGATGGGCTGAAAGGCCACCCGTTGGGAAGACCAACAAGAAAACAGGGGAAAACCAGCATAATTTCAGTAGAGAGCTGACTGGTTCATCACCCCACAATTGCCAGCCCAAGCAAGAGACTTTTTGATCAGCTACGGAAAGAGGCAGCACCATTTTTAAAAGGTTGGTTTTGCTTTTATTCAATACAAAAGGATTTCGGTTGCATTTATCAGCACAGCCCAAAACAAAACCCCAGTGTCCAGGATTTCTGCTTAGCAATGAGTCATTCAGCCTCCAGTCAGACACAAGGAGAAGCCTGACCCTGGGCTACATCACCTCCTCTCTCTCCAGGCCCGGCTAGCCATATTTCAATCTCACACTAGACCGGCTCCGGCCCTGAAGAGACACATGCTGAAGGAACGCAGCATCACCACCTCTTGCCATAGCTGAAGTCCTGCCTCTGGCAAGTCCTCTTTGCTTGGAACACAGCAACCCGGGGTCTCTGCAGCACCCGGGCCGCAACGGGGCTGCAGCACTGCTGGGCTTGGGGCTCGAGTTCCGTTCGGCACATCGGCATAACCCCAGGAACAAGAGGCTGAACCCCTTTAGCAAAAGCCTGA